TGCAATTACATGAGGGAAATTTGGGGGCCAAGGTGTTATGGATTATGACACAAAGACACTGAATAATAAAGAAACAGATGCCTCAAAGGTTATATTTAACTATTGCTATGCTGCTCGACAGATAATTCGGTGTTGCATTATTCATATTTTATCGCTTCAATGGTGTCTGTGATGGCACTATGATATTATTTATTCTGACGCAGTGTCGCTATAAGAAACTTAGAATTTTATGGATTTTTGTATTTTTTTCTATATAATATAACTAAAATAAAACATTTTCATTGAAAATATAACACATTATTTATACTTATCAAGGCACTATCCTTATTATATGTGATAACACTAGTGTTATTTGCATTTCAAAGAATTCAATCCAAAATTCTTACATACAATATAATTATATTAAACATCATTTCATCATAAATTATATAGCAAAAGGGATATAAAAATGAATCATGTAGCTACTAAAAATTAATTGGCAGACATCTTTATAAAACCCCTCAATTATGAGACTTTTAGTATATTTAGGACTAGACTAGGTTTGATTGATATAAATGCTTAAAGACAATGGGATAAGGATATAGAAAAAATTAGTGTATGTTTGATTGGTTATATTATATGTTTGTGTTTATGAGTGCGTGCATCTATTTATTTTTATTTATGTTTTATTGTATGATAGATTATTTGTGAAATTTGCTCTTAGATTTTTTTTTGTCATCACTCACAAAAGTAAAATTTGCTCTCATCATACTGTATGATTTACTTTGTACTATACAAACTTCTCACAAAAGACTTGTAATGAACATATGATGTAAATGGCGGTTCACCAACAGCCTACTTATGATTAAAAGAATAAGAATGATGTATCTACGATAAGTATGACAATACACTCATTGAAGGAGTGTCACAATCCACTTATCGAAAGGGGACATGATGCTTGTGATTAATATATTAGTCAACATGTTCGTGATACATATAATGGGCTATCCACTGGCTCAAGTCCAAGAGATTTATGGTTAATGAAGCATCTTGCTTACAATGATGGATGAGTAGCCACTACAAATAGTGACAGCATATATGTGATAACTGCAAAGATACTTTCATACCCAACAATAATTAAACACCTGGCAGATGAGTCCCCTAGAGATGAAGGAGGTTGGCACGCAACAAATGTAACAAGTTACAATGTGTACAGCAAATCACCTCCAAAGATAACAAAAATCTTGCAAACATAAGTATCATGTGACAAATGATGCAATATATTCGTGAGCAAGGTGTGAAGGGCAATTAGCAGATGAAACAACTATTTTACAACACTCCCGCAATCAACATTAAGACACATTCAAGCACATTAATCCGCATGTAATCAAGAGTGAAAGATCTACAATACATACAAGTTCTCTACAAATACAGAAGCAGTAATAGCAAGTGTACTAGAAAGACCAAAGATCACATCAAAATGCATAAAGAATGTGACAAATGTAGGTTCCTATGAGTTTATGTAAGAAATCTGCTATACACTTAGGATGATGTCTACAAGAAGGATATAAGGGAACTACAATAGATAGTAATATGATCTACTAGTGAAAGTAGGAGATTCGTTAGTACACAACCATTTGTAGAAAATGACAAGTAGTGCACAATAGTCTACATATATAAAACATGAAGATAACATGTACAATGTCATGCCACCAGATTACAAGCGAACATAAGGCACTTACGAGCATCCAAATATTATGCTACATTCAAATGGTGGTCACCCACAAAACTGAGCATCGTCAAATATCTCAAAATGTCCCCGCACGTACACTATAATATGTATGCACATATATACACAAAAAGAAGGTAAGTGCAATCATAAAACCTGTATAGATTTCGATAAGCGTGTTATTTGTACACACGTGATATCTAGGGATGGCGCATAGGTCCATAAATGAATATAGTTTCAGCCGATCCATCTATATGGATAAATAGGAGTCGATACGACTCGAATTATCAAACAGATATACGGTCAGTGTGTTTACTAGAATATTTATTTCATACATTCATATAAGGCCTTTAAGATATATGACAAAAGAAATTCAACAACCAAAACATAAAGCTTGTGGACCCAATCCTCTGTCGACCCGCATATAAAGTTAACAGGGTCCAATCAATAAAATGCAATAACCCCATACACACCGATGATGGTCATGTTGACTACAGATCTCAATCAGTGGGATTAATTTCAAATAATTCAAATACCTTCCAAGCTCTGCCCAAATACCCACAAATAATCCAAAAATCTCAAAAAAAAATTCAAAAATATTTAAATTTTGAAATTCAACTATCAATCAAATAAAATTCATCCACCTTTCACAATAGTTTATCGGGTAGAAAACGTGAAATTTACTTCAGCTAACATAGAGCTAATGCCTAGTCAAAAATATCACTATGATACATTCTTAAATAATCTCCTACTAGTAAGAACATGGTACGTGTCCTATAAACGATAATTTTGCCACCAAATGGTACCGCAGGATAAATGCTTATGACCTGAGGCCCTCTATATCGAATGATTTTGCCGCCAAACGGCACCACTAAATTATGGTTATGTCTAGAGCCAATGCGTTCCTTCGTGGCATCAAATTCTTGATATACGAATCAATAGGGTATAATCGATATGGAACAAAGCTCTATGTTAGCTAAGATGGATTCAAATTTATCCCCTTAGACAAATATCCATCCCAGGTCTACAAAGTACCCTTGGACAACACAACCATGGCTTCCGACAAGGATCCTTCTGTTAGGTTGGGTCGACTACCTCCTCTGACTAAGTAGACCATGATGTCCTAGCGAGACGGAACCATAGGATCTTCATGTAGTTCATCATTCATTTCCCCACCATCCGCTTTAAGTGTAAGATGGTGAAATTTCTAGTTTTAATATCAAATCTTCAAATTCCTAAGCCCAAGCTACTACTATATACCAAATAACACGTATCTCTACGTTGGTCGACGACTAGCCTTAATCGAAAGCTCTCTAGTTATCGAGAGGGGTAATTAACTATAGGGGCTTGCACATATAGGAAACAAGAACTCATATCATAAAGTCCTCACAAAATGAGGGCGAAATCTTTGGATAGTATCTTATCTACAAACTCATCTGCCTTCCTAAAATTTACCCCGCAACTTAAATCGTTAAAACTCCCTCGACAAAAAGCAGTGGGGGGTGACGGGGCCAAATTTTTGGAGCTCACAAATCAAGTATAAAAAAGATACTAGGGAGAATATATCATAACTAATACTTACAAATCAGTAGAATACTCTCAAGAGTGATTAGTTTTAAAAGTTCTTTCAACTATTTGATAGAATTATTACCCACAAATATCTTTTTATTTTCTTCTAAAAAAATTCTTAGCTCATAGAATGTCTTTCTTTTTGTGAAAAGCAATTTTTTTTAATCAAACTCATCTTATAGGAGAGATCTCTCAACTGGAATCTAAATTTGATTAAAAAAAATTTTCATCTTGGCATCCCTACAACATTGATGCCAAAAAATCCAAGATTCATACTATTTAAAGACTAGGAAAGAAAAAATAAGCCCAAATAGAATCTTCGGTAAGCTCAAGATTCAGAATTATTACCAAGTAGTAATAATTAACCGACCACTACTCATTTCTATCCCATCTTTTAATATACATCCTTTCATAATTGTTCTCCCTCACATAAATCCTTCCTAGCAAATATCACAAATCCTATTTTAGGCACAATCGAAGATAAGTATTGGAATAATGTCATTAAAAAAAGAGATGGATGCCTAAAAAACTAAAATCGAACTAGGATTTTTTGAACTGCTGAAAGAAAAAAAAAAAGTAAAATAGTATGATGCAAGTAATTTTTTTTTATAAAATATAATACAAATAGTAGTCTAGAAAGTCACAAGGCAAGATATTAATTGTTAAAAGGTATAATTAATACCATAGAATTAGCTACCAAGAAACATTTGCTCTTGTTTCAAAAAATGAATACAATTCACATACCATTTTTTTAGCACTAATATCAGCTGGTCTATGTAATGTTATGAAGTAAAGAATGCCTTCTTATGTGGAGATGTTGAAAATCTACATAGATCTTTCACCATGATTCGATAGCTCATTCACGAAGAACAAGAAGTGCAATTTGAAAAAGGCCCTAAATGAACTTTTAGTAGTCCCCCAAGAGCATGATTTGGCATATTTACAGAAGCCATAATTAAAGAGAGTCATACCTCTTCCAAACACTCCACTAATAGTAAGATATCAATTTTTATTATATATGATGACAACATAATTACAATTGGTTCTTGTAATAAAGAATGGGAGACCCTCAGAAGAAAGCTTGCCAAAACAATTGAGATCAAAGAGTTGGACAAAAATTCTTCTTGGATATACATCAGTAGTTCAATCAGAACAAAAAAATATTTTTTCTCTTAACAAAAATATGTTGTGGATCTACAAGAAGAGATAAAAATAATTAATAGCAAATCTTGTAAAACCCTAACTGAATCAGGTCAAAAGTTAGATGCTAATGGATCATAAATACACATGATAATATAAATGATTAGTTGAAAAACTTATCTATCCTATTCATCTAAATATTGCTTTTGCAATAAGTCCCTTCAATCAAAACACTCACAAACCCAAAGGTATCATCCTCAAGCAACTTATCGAGTTCTCAACTGAAGAGAAGGAACATAAAGTGAGAATGGGATCATTATTAAAGCGCAAAGCCAAGCTGAACTACAAAAAAGTTAGCAAAGCTAACAAATGTTGGATTAATCAGAAGAGACCGTACCTGCAACTGAAGAGAAGGAATGAATCAAATGAAAAGTGAAGGTTGAGAAGAGGGAACATAAAGTGAGAATGGGATCATTATCCACATCTTGTTGAATTTTTAAAACAAAAAAAAAAGACCAAGAATTTTTGGTGTAAAATATTCGAATGTTCTATAACTAAAAAATAAACCTAATAGTCAGACTAGTTTTACTGATCAACAGAATTAAAATGAATAGATAATGGAGCAAAATATAATAAAAAATATATTTCGGTCAGGTACAGAATAAAAACCTATCTTCCCATTATGGCCATAAGCTCTACATTAACTTAAAAATTTTATAATGTTCTATTCAGAGTCAGGATCACCGTCCACAATATCTGGCAATGAATCCAAGGAAAAAGAGTCCGAATCATAAGATAACATTGCATCCTTTCCCTTGTACAAACTTCTAGGACTAGAATCTTCTTTAATCTTGCCAATTGAGAGGTCAGGAGCATTGCTGCCATGGTTGCTCATATTTACAGGTATGTTCACGAGACTCTCACTTTTCCATAGCGTCATCTCTGCAGCAAATACTGCAGAATTTCCTTGGCCAAAATCCATCTTATTGTGTGAAGCATTGTGGAAGCTAATCTCGTTTCTAGGCGTAGATTCTTCAGTTTTCTCTTTATCAATAGTAGTTTCACCACTGCCAAAGCCTTCCATCTCTACACCAACATTTTGTGAAAATTTGTCTTCATACTCTAAAACATGATGACTGACTTCTGAATTATTAGCCAAAGGTTTCTCCATAATATCTTCAGAATTGTGTTTATCATTCAGATTTCTGTTCTCTAATGAAGTTGGTCCCTCCTCATCAAACGAACCGCTGGATAGTTCTTCTTCATCCTCTTCATCAAGGAGTCCTAAATCACCTTTTGAGAAAGAAGGGAGGTTTGTTTTAGTACTATTGTTGAAGTTACCGCTTGCAAAACTCTGGTTGAATCCTTCACCAACTGATAGATTATTGGGAGGGGGATGGTCCTCAAGTGGCAGAGAACGAGGATGTATGAGAACTTCAAGAGCAAGAAGGGCATGTGCACAGAAGGTAGCTATCTTTGATCCAGTTTCCTGCCTTCCTGTAGTATAATTTCCACAGGAATCATTGGAATGAGAAAACAAAAGCATTTACAAGATTTTCTTGTGTGTTGAAAAACTAGCTTTTAACTTCGATGATGTGCTAATTGATGAACCTTAACGAGATAAAACAAAACAAGATCCGAGAACTGTAGTTGTTAGATTTGTTAAGATCTATATGTTTTTTACAAAATTCATTATATTAAATTATTCATTAGAGCAAATAGCGACAAACACTAAAACTCCAATATGACAGTATCGAGGCAATGAATATAGAAAATTTAGATGGAAGGTTTGGAGAAAGCAGGGTGAGCTAAATCGCAAGTTGAAATAATCATTTAAAAGGAAAAAAAAACACTAAAGTCCTCTTAAAGCACTACATCATACTCAAAATTACACCAAATATTGAACAAAGAGTTATAAAGGTCATTATCAATGATGGATCCAAAGGGCAATGTATAGTTAAATAATCAATTGAACTAGTAAAATTGATCATGCTACTTGAAAGTTTAAAAACCTAGTTGATGGCATTATTACCTCTTCGAAATAGATCAAGACCTTGGGATAAATATGGAGATCGAGTATGAGTTGGTGAAAGAAGAGATGCTAGCAGCACCTCCAAGGTTGCTAACTGATAATCAACAAAAGAGGATTCATGTTTCAATAAACACAACCTGTTTTCATTCGCCCAGCTTGAATCAAAAGCATTCGTAGCCACAATTATCACCAGAAAATCAACATCTGGACGCCAGCACTCAGATTTCAACGAACCACCCTGTTAAGTTTCATAAGTAGTGATTGAAACCAAAATACAAAAGACAGGAAAAGGATGCGGTAAGTTGATTTCAAATACCATAAGCAAAGTGATATATGAAAAAGTAAATCATATGGATCACTGGAATTTAAAAAAATTGGGGTGAAATGTAAAATGTTAAAAAATGAGGGCTAGGGCTGTCAATTCGTGTCGGCGGGTCGTGTTCGGGTCAGACCCGAATTTGACCAGGTTGTACCTAGCCCGACCCGGACACGACCCGAAACAAGTTTCGGGTCAACACGACCCGACACGGAAAATGTTTAATCGTCTTTTTCAATGTCAACTAAAACAGGAGCATTTCCTACTTCCACATTCTCAATGAATGGAGTACTTTCTACCACTATGTTAGAATCCTCCATCTGTTCAACAACAACATTATATAAACAACTATTCAATCATAAAGCACAAACTAATATTGTAATACATGGCTCCACCCTCCAACAACAATAATGTATAAAAAACTATGACAAATGTACAATAACATTAAATAGCATTTAAATGTTTAAGCTAAAAGCCCAAGGCTACAACCTATATAAGGACCACAGGTTACTCCATAGTCCACACAACCACACTCCCCAGGACCACAATAGCACAGCAAACGGCTACAGCTAAAAGCCTAAGATCAACTAAAAATCAGTCCACAGCCACAACCAAAAGAAATAACTTAAGTCTTAAACAAAGCTAAAAGCCTAAAATCAATTACATAACGACAACGACGACGAACAGATGATGAACATGAACAGAGTGACAAAGGGTGAAAGGGATTTCGGTTAAACTCAAATATTGTTAATAATGTAGTCAAACATAAACAAAATCTTGAAAATCAGTACAAAATAAAGGAAATAAGTGATAATCAACTCTAGGATTTGCTAATCGCGAAACCTTCACGGCATCACCTAGAGTTTCTGCTTGAGAAATGAGAAACTCATAATAAAGAAAAAAAAATCTTGCCATTTGCCAAGCAATAATCCTATCTAAACATTATATCCAAAAGATAAAAAGAAAATTCCGGTTCTCAGTATATAACGACATAGGGAGAAAACGAGACTTCAAGGGGAGAAGGAGACTTAAAATCAGAATTCATCACCTGCGATTCTTGCGAAATCGATCAAACAACAACCGCTAAATCACGGAGAAGGAAGAGGAAACTCAGGAAAGGCGGAAAATTAGGGCAATTGGGCAAGGGCCACCACTCTCCAGCATGCAGCTAACTCATAGTCTCAAAGTTTCGAACCGAAATGACGGAATTGCTGAAATCTAAATGGGATAAGTAATTATTTAAGCCTTGATTCAATGACGCCTTGAGTCCATAACCCGCGGTTCCGTGTGTAGCGGCGAACTCGAGCAGTCGAGCAACCGAGTCAAATTAATACGGGTTGACATCAGGTCATCCTCATGTTTCTGGGTTGACCCGAACACGACACAATAAAAAATGGGTCATTTTCTCTGACCCGAACACGACTCGTTCGCTACCCGGGTTGACCCGAACACGGATTTTTCCGTGTCATTTCCGAGTCGTGTTTCGGGTCGTGTCGAATATTGACAGACCTGATGAGGGCCTAGAAAGTGGGTAATGAACTTTTTAAATTTTGTTATATAACACAAACACGTATCATATAATGCAGAAAAAAAAATGTGGGCATAGTTCTACTTTAAGCCCATTAAGACAACAAAAGATAGATGTTTTTCAGATATGAAAAGCTGAAACTCATATACCTTTGGAATGTATCATTGAACATTTCTTGCTTGAACCAATTTTAAATTCAGAAAGAAGTTCCAATTTTCCTTAAAATTTCTTATATATAAGTAAAATAATTAGCCGAAACCATTTGCATATGTCATGACCATTCCTAAACATCCGTTATGTGATGAAAGATTTGCTGTCCATCCTAATGAAATGCAAAGCTGGAATCAGCTAACACTTAAAATTGTCAAAGTTAAACAGCAAAGATTTTCAACACAACTAAGGTCAGAGAGATGCTTATAACTTTATTTTTAAAAAGAAATTTCGCCACTACATTCGTACCATTGTAAGAAGAGCTTCCAATGCTTTTAGTGCAGCAATCTTCACAGAAAGAGGAGCTTGTGATTTCTTGCTGCAAGTCTTAACGCTTAAATCAACACCATTGGAATGTTCCACTGGAATTACTGAGGCATCACGTTTCCTCTTCTTGTGGTAATTTTGTCGAAATGTCCCACCAACTAAGATAGATGATTGCATATTGGAAAGCATTGCACTACTCCCAAGCTCAAGGTTATCAGTAAGGTCAGCAAAAGCATTATTAATTACTTCTTGAGCAAGGTAAAGAGACATTCCTGATCAAGGTCAAAGTTCAAGAGTTAATCATAATCATTTATTTATAAAAGTAGATAGCATTTTTTATAACAATCTAATTAAGGATTACCCGTTCCTTAAGAAATAATAGAAACCAGTCACTTATAAAGATAGCTAAATAGTTAGCATTTCGTCCTTGAATGTTTTTTTAACTAAGAACAATATTAAAGATTGGAAACTGAGAATCACATTGGAAAACAAATGAGGTAAGCATACCAACACCCATTGAGATCAGTAGCATCTGCACTATAGAGTATACTTTTCTTCTTATTGACGGCATCCTAGCTCTCCTGAAATATTCAGTGAGGAGCCGCACAACATTGGCACCATGTGGCAAGAGTTGGCTGCAGCCATAGATTGCATTTTTAAGTGAGAGCAATTTTATAAAGTAAACTTCATGCAGGATTGTAGTTCAAGGCAGAATTAACTACATCAGAACAAATGTCTGGAAATCATCAAAGCCTATTCAAAAAAATAATAATAAGATAACTTCATTCACTAATGGCACAACATAATCTTACTTTCGGTAAAGAAAAAAAGGCCATTAATATTTCCACAGAGTATAACTACACTGCATAAACACAAACTCTACCAATATTAATAAAAATTTGAGGAAAATGAAATAGTGGGTTTAAAAGAAAAACTGATATTCAAGTGGCTAAAATGTGCATTACATTGCTACTGCTACACCTAATCAGAAAGGGGAAAAAAATCACTTAAAAACAAGATTACCCATGTGAGTTGAAAGAACTAATCAAAAGATACATAAAACTCTTACCTTCGTAAACCTTTAATAATAGCAATAAGAAAATCCAAGCAACCAAGATGAAGGGCTGGAAGCACTGCACAAAGAAGTTCCTGATGCGTGGAAGTGATCAAAGGAAACAAAGTTCCATGAAAAGAACCATCCACTTGAAGCACTCTCCTAACTGTAGCTATCAAAGGGCGCACAGGAATGGACACCTATAAAAAGGAGGCGTTAAAAATCTGATGTAATAAAATGTTAAGAAATTAACACAAATAATCTAACAAAATTTGAGAAAAATGTCAAAGCAAGCAATTTCTATGGAACCATTTTAATCTCAATTATTTAATATGTTAAATTTAATCACTTGATCAGTCAATGATCCAAAATAGTTCATTTACAGGATTATTTGGATAAAAGTTGATAAATTTAAGGAGGAATTTTGGATTAGATTTAAAGAGTTAAGAGTCTAAATTGAACATATTAGCTAGTCTGGGACTAAAACACCCCTAAACTAGTACAAGATCAAATTTGACTTTTTTTTCAATAAAATATATTAAAATACTCAAGTATATTCATAAATGTCAAAGAATGTATCTACCCTCCTATGAATATTTTGATGTATAAATTTCAAATATCATATCAAAACAATCCATTTTGCTAAATAAATTTACGCTAGTGTGTTTAAAAAAATTTAGAATTACTTGATCATGAATAGGATACATTAAAATATAGGTACAAGCACACACATATTCACTAGGCACACAATTATGCGTGCATACACAGATATATCATCTCAAATGCAAGATCAAAGCAGCTAATTCCATTTAAAACCATTAAAATTAGTGGAATGAGGTTTCTATAATTTTTCAAAATCATTTAATCTTTAATTGAATACATCAAAATTTTTACAATAAATGAATTTGATTAACTGATAAAATATATGTGATATCAAAGTGTCAAGATTATAAAGAGGCTTAGAATCAAATGCATCTTCAATACTTGATATATCTAGAATGTATTGAAAAATTTTAATTTGGTTAAACAAGGGTAAAATAAAATTTCTAATAGGATTTCTATTTGTTTTACAACCATTCTTGTGTTTATCATATGCTGCAGTAATCGTTGAATCATCATAAAATTTAATGAAACTTGATCCAAGTGAATCTTAATTAGTGTGATCTTGAGTAATGAAGATAACATAAAGTAATGGATGAAATTGGGAGAATAGTCATTCGCTTCCTAGAAGTAGAAAAATCTTCTCCTCCTTTTAAAATTTCAATGTCGACCTCAAAATATATGATTAAAATCATTCATTATCTTTAACATCATAAAGGCAAGTGGCACATGTGATTTCAAGAACTTTTAAGATCCTTCATTCATCAATTGGATGCACTAAAATTTTCTCAATAGCAGACTCTAATTCATAAGAAGATTATTGTGATTTTAAAACAAAAAAACCTTCAAACGAGGCGAAATTAATCCATGACTTGTTGATGAAATTTATGGTGCATTTGAATTTTTATTTTTGAAATAGTGAAATACACAAGTAAATAATATTGTTGTCAGGTATCAAATCCTGAATGAGAAAAGTGAATGATTGCGTGAGATTGTCGACAGCCTGCATAAAATTTGTCAAATAATAATAGCATGAATCATTTAATACATTGTATTAATATTAGAGCTTTCCTTGAAAGCGATGTGGTGGATGGCCTTAATACAACAAGAAGTGTGCAACGGCCGCTGCACCAATGCTCAGGTGCAGTATTCAATAAGCAAAGGTTCCCACATCATGGATGGATATGGGCTAAGAAGCTAGTTCATAAAAGTAAAATTAGCATATGAACATGCAATATATACTCACTTAAAGTCAATTTAATGAAATTAATAGATATTATGATTCATAGGAAGATAAATATTATATGCATTCAAAAAACAAAATGGGTTGGAAAGAAGCCTAAGGAGCTTTATAATTTAGAATTTAACATATGATATTTAGGTAGGACACATATTAGAAATTGTGCATGTGTGATTATAAATAAGAGTTTGAAGGATAATATTGTAGAAATTAATAAAATTAGATATAAAATTATAGTTTTAAAGATTGCACTACTAATATTATTAATATTATAGGTGTTTATGTTACTCTAGTAGATTTGAAGATGTATTGAAGGGGATTTAAATGAACATTTGGTAGAGTGGTATAATATTTTAAAAATATTTATGATGACTATGAGTTTGAGCGATAAATAAAGGTGGTAGGACTATATTAGATTTTACTCTAATTTATAATTTTGTAATTTCTAGAAATTTATTTAAAAGGAAGAAAGGAGCATCTCATCACTTATGAGAATTGATATAGTAAAATTGAGATTGATTATTTTCTTATAATAAAAGAAAATCATTTAGATTGCAAAGATTACAAAGTTATTTATAGTAAAATTTAGTTTTAAACTTTAATATGAAGAGGCAAAAAATGAAAAATAAAATAAAAATATTATCCTAAGATTAGAAGAGAGCATTTAAAAAATGCTAATAAAAATAGTTTTTAAAATTCATCATCTCAAGATTTTAATTGTGCATGAGAAAATTAATGTTATATGAAAAAAATAATAAATGATATTATGAATATTGTAAAGTATATGTTTGGAGTATCAAAAGAAAAAGCTCCAAATAACAAAATAATTAATAGTAAAATTAAAATGTGCAAAAAAAAAAAGAAAAAATAAGAAGCTTTTTTATAAAATTTAGTTTAGATGTAAAAACTTAGAAAATTGTGAAAGATATAGAAGAGCTTATAAGGAATCTAAGAAATAATATGTGATGTAAATAATTTAGCTTTTAATGATTTATATACTAGACTAAATACTAAGGATAAAAGATGTAAAGTTAGCCAAGCAAAGAGATAAAAGAAGTAAGAATTTAGTTCAAGTGAAATGAATTAAAGATGAATATCAAAAAGTACTTTTATTAAAAAAAATATTCAACATAGGTGGATGGGATGTTTTAATAAACTTTCAATGAAAATTATGAAAATATAATTAACTTTAGTGAACTTAGCACCTTAAATAAAAAATAGAGATTAACTTTGTTATCATCGCATTAATAAAATCAAAGTTAGAGAGGATTTAAAGAGAATGAAGTGTGAAAAAATAATTGGATAGGATGATAATCTCATTGCGATATGTAAAATATTTAAGAGATGAAAGAATTTCTTGGCTTATTAATTTTTTTCAATATTATTTTAAAGACTTAAAAAATATCAGATGAGTGGAGGAGTGTGTTGATTCTTATTTTTAAGAATAAAGGTGATGTACAAATGTTTGTGAATTATAGAGGATAAATTAATGTGTCATATATTAAAACTATGGGAGAGAGTAATTGAGCATAGGATATGACATGATACTAATGTTTCTCAAAATTAATTTGGATTCATTTTGGGCAAGTCTAGTATGGAAGTTATACATTTATTAAAATGTGTGATGGAGAAGTATAGAAAGAATAAGAAGGTTCTACATATAATATTTATTAATTCAGAGAAATCATAGGATAAAGTTCGAAGAGAAATGCTTTGGAGAATTCTAGAAGAAAATGAGTTAAAATATTTATATTCAAGTCATTAAGGATGTATATGTAGGAGTTATTACTTGTGTTCAAATACAAGGTGGTTTGACGAAGCATTTTTCTATTTCAGTTAAATTACATCAAAGATCAATTTTAAGCATGTATCTTTTTGGTTAGACATGGATGTTCTTACAAGACATTTGGAAGAGGATGTACCCTAGTGTATGATTTTTGTTGATTATATTCTTCTTGTTGATAAGACTAGAGAGGGTATTGAAGGAAAACTTGAACTTATGGAGATCAACCTTAGAGTTTAAGGATTTTTATTTGAGTAGATCTAAAATTGAATACATGGAGTGTAATTTTAATAGTAATAGATATAGTGGCAGCTTCGGGTAATTAAGTCATTAAAAAGAGTACGATTCTACATATCTTAGGTCTATTGTATAAAGTGATGATGAAATAGATTGGTATATTATTAGTAGAATTTAAGATGGATGGTTGAAGTGGAGAGATGCATCGAGCTTGTTGTGTGATAGAAAAATGCTACTCAAACTTGAGGGGAAATTTTATAAGATGATGTTGAGACATGCAATGCCTATTGGTGCATAATATTGATCATTAAAAGAGAAGCATAATTAAATTAAGTGATGCAAAAATGAGGATACTCAAGTGGTTGATCAGCTTTACACTTAGAGACATAATATGAAATAAGTATATACATGAAAATATTGGAGTAGCTTTAGTGGCAGATAAGATATAGAGAGAGTCGTCTTAGATGGTTTGGTTACATAAAACATTAGCCTTCTGATGACCTGATTAGAAGAGTGTATGTATTAGTTATGGCATATGTTAAGAAAAGTATATTTTGACCTAAAAAGGCTTGATTAGAAAGTATTAGAAATAACATTTTCATCATATTTCAATGAGAATTTGACTCTTAATAGAACATATTGGAGAAAAATGATTCATGTAGCCGACCACAAATAATGGGTTGTTGTTGTCATGAAATACACAAGTAAAACCTTGAATTTTAACAGGGGTTTCAAATTATCATACTTTTAATTTAAGTGTTTGATGAATGATTAAATTACTCCAAAAAATAGGTGAAGCTCAATTCATAAGTAACTTTCACTTTTTTGATCATATAAGGAGAACATCGACTCTTTAATCTCTTCTCACACAGCCAAATGAGTCAAGCGATGAAAGATAGATTAAATTCATGACATACCGGAAAAGGATAAGGATTAGTGAGCATAACACAGCAAGAATGCATTAGAGTAGTCACTCTGGGAACTAGTAATTCACTTAGTCTTCTGGTTGCTGGTTCAAATGCTTCTCCTGGCAATGTTTGGCCTCCCAAAGGGGGTGGGGGATCCTTGCCTGGAGGAACTATCATTCTCATTACCTCAGAACTTTTCTTTTCTAGAAAATAAGAGAATATATGTTACTTAAGATGTAAAGACCGATAATAGATTCAATAAAGGTGGGGAATTTGCACCTTCTTCAAGTCCCTGGAAAGCATCAGTGAGAATTGAATTTATGGCTATAAGAATCTTCTCAATAATCAAACAGAAGCTTTCTTCATCTCCTTTCACCTTAGGAAGTATTGCTAAGCCAAGGGAAAATTTCTGAGAAAACGGTCACAAAATATTCATAAATGAGAACTAACACATAAAAATCGCAATGAAAATGCAAGCCAATTGGCTATCAATGATAACAATTCTGATAATTTATCTTGTAATTGTTAAAAACTTGTCATCACCTTGGACGTATTTAAGTCACATTTTGCTGCCATGATCTTTGAAGTAAGAACAGCTTCAACCTGACATAAAATTAAGATCTCATAGAACATTATTGGCATTGCATAAAGACACATAAAAGAAAGGATGGCAATTATAAAATTCTTCTGAAAACTGCAGATTTTGCATAGGATAGAACAGATTATAAGAAGAAAGGTCTGCATAAAAACCGTTCACTTTAATCATAAATTATAAAATTTCAGAATAGGCAATAATTTCAATAAACTTTTTCAACGCACCCGTCTCTTATTCTAATGATAGTGATTAGCAGAACATTAACATTGTTATCAGTTCTTCTTTAGCATCATCATAACCACCCTTTTCTAACTCGTTTATCTACTATGACAGCTTTTGACCTAAAATTAATCAATTATTCATAGTGCATGACATATTGGACAGTTTTCTTTTAACTTGCTAGTTTCCCATTTTCACAAGGTAGATTGAGAGCATATTAAAACAAGTTTAATTACTTCAATATAAAAAATTTAGATGTGATTGCCAAAAACTAAATATCAGTAGTGTGGATCATAATGCCATGACATTCAGCCTCTATATATATATATATATATAAGAAATGATGGTCAGCACACTGAAAAATCACAAGAGAGCACAAGTGTTTTTGCTTACAGTGTCATAGTGCTGACGTATAGATGATGGAAAGAAAGACATAAGCGTGCATAGCAATTTTACAGCAACATCCTGGACAAACATGTAATAAATGTGAAAAGAATCAATAATCTACAAAAGGTAATGATACAAAATATGAAAAAAAAATTATTTGAGGAACCTAACCCACAAAGTTTCTCCAACATCCTCATTTAAAATCTGCATAACTGGCTGGATAACTTTTCTAGCAAGCAATGTTCCATCTTTTTTAAGATATGGAAAGCAGGCCAACCTGATGACAATAGGAAGACGTCAATAAATTAAAATATGCTACTCAAAATTGAGTTTTCATCCTCAAAGTACTTAGAAGAGCATAGGTTGCATTTGCCATACATGTAATAAAAGTAAATTAAAACTGCGGGAACTAGACATGCTCTAAATCTAACTTCTTAATTTCTTGAACTTAAGCAAATCTTTTTCAAAGATCACAAGAAAAGTTTAACCAAAAAATTGTAATAGTTAAATAATCACCTTGGAAATTGCGCTTACTTGAAATACACTAGAAAAGAAAATCAACTGTCTTTAAATAACATATATTTCTTTTTGCATATATATAATTTTCAAAAAAAAAAAAGTTATACCCTTTCAAAATCTATGATTTATCACAATTAATGAACAATATTGATATTATTTTTAAAATAATCAATTTATGTATCCGCAAGAAAAATGAGAAGTGATTGTCAACTAACCTCGTAAAAAGATCAGCCAATGAAGCACAGCAAGCAACTTTGATAAAATGGGTGGCGGTTGGAGACTGTTTGAATCAACGGAAAGGAATGAAACTACATAATAATATCCACAAATGCTAATAACTAATAAATGATAGCTCATAAAACTATTTTTGTAGAATACCTGAAAGTTTTCAATAAGTTTTTGAAACCAAATAGCGTATGATGACTGGAAACGATCAGAGCAGCATTCTTCGCTCGTTACCCCTAGCAAACAAATTCCGGCCCAACACTTGTCTGGCTAGATCATTAAATGCAAACTACGGAGTAAAAAATATATGGTATTTCACCAAAAGTACAAATTTGAACAGCCAAAACTGTATCTTTCCTAATTCAAACAATGCCACTGGAAGTAAGAAAAAATCTGGCAAACCAAATTAAAAAAGAAGAAGAAGAAGAAGAAGAAGAGGAAAGTAATTGCGATGAAATTTTTTAGGAGAAAAAGACAATACGAGAAACTACCGCGCTATTCGAGGCGAGTGAAAGGACGCGTTCAACCCAACCATCAACGGCGGACCTCCATGCCTCAACAAGCTTACGTTCAGCGATGTCCGAGTGGCGCTCGGATAGCAGTCCATGGGTTCGCATGTGGGACAGCACAGCGGTGAGCTCTGTGGGACGAAATGGCCGCTTCTCATCGGGGAGGCGATCACGCAGCACCGAACGTAGCATAGGTGGTTTCAGGCGACAGTCATCCATGCCGCTAACGAACTCCGCCGCCGCCATCAACAGTTCTACTTGTCCTTCTCTCTTCTCCTAATAATACAGTCTTTTGGATTATGGTCGGGAGCTTTAGGGGCTGTTTGGTATCGGATTTGCAGCAGGATTTAGTCCTGCCGAACCGTTTTCGAGCACGCAGTAAATCCAATCCCTTGTAAATCCCGGATTAATGGGTTAACATCGTAAATCCGGGATTTACTTAATCCCGTCGTTCGCCGGATTTAGGGGCTGTTTGGCAACAGCATTTGAGCAGGGTTTAGCGTAAATCCTGCCAAACAGGATTTCGACTCGGCATAGATCTCACGGCCGAATAAATCCGCTGTTACCCCTTTTTCAGTAAATCCCGGATTTAGGAGTTCGGCGGATTTATGGGAGTTGGCCGAAGAAGCGCGCGAAAGGGAGAAAATGGTTACCTACGCAACGGCGAGCTCCCTCCGTCGTCTTCTTTACTTCCCGATCCAGCAGAAGAACAGCGAGCTGTCGTGACTTCTGATCCGGCAGGAAGATACGTCGTCGAAGGAGGCGAAAAAGTTTTTAAGCGGCTCGTTCAAACTCTTACCTCGAAGCGCAGTCGAAATCGAACTGCTAGAGAAGGGAAAAGCAAACCTAGGCCTTCTGCTAATGCCAGACAGCGTAAAAATTCTTGAAATCGGCGGGCATTCCATAGTAATTAATTAATATAATTTAACTGGTTTAGTTAAAATTAATTAAAAATATATTCTAATTAATGCATAATTAGTAGTATAATTATTACTTAAAATTAATATAATTAGTTCAATTAATATAATTTGAAATATAAATAACTAATTATATAATTAATATTATAAATAATAATTAAATAATAAGATGACTCTGGTTGATTTTCTATCGATTTTTCACAATATACTTTTCATATATGAGTAGTTGAATAATTAAGTGTCTAATAAAATAACTAAAAGTACAATTAATCATTTCGAAAATTAAATAACAATTAAATAATTAATGAATTTTTAATTAGGTATATTGATTAAAAGATTATAATGATATCACTTATCATTACAATTTATTGATGCTAATCAAAATGAAAATTAATAATTTAAT